GTCTGCTGGCTTCTCTTGTTCCCGACTCTCTGTCCCCTTAACTAAGTCATATAGGGCAGTGTTTCTCAACCTTTTAAGTAGCAAGTACCCCTGAACTTCTGAAAATTTTAATAAGTACCTCAACACTCAATTTTCCAGGGGATTTTACATTTACAGACCAATGTGTGCCATATGTTGGAAGAAGGGCTGTGTATATAAGGCCGTTATATAACAGATGTCTGATCTGGTGTGGGTAGGGTTGCCACCTTTTACACCAGGGGTGCACAACTCAAGTAAGTACCTCAGCTAAAGGTGATGTTGGCCAAAGCTAGGAGGGCTGACCCAGCCAAATTATTACTGGGGAATTTAAAGCACCGCACACCAAATTTTTTGCCATAGTTTTGAAAGGAACAGAGGGCAAGAGAGTGTTGGGGTACCCACGTACCCCTGCCTGTGTCTCGCATACCCCTGCCTGTGTACACGCATCACAGGTTGAGAAACTATGATATAGGGCATATCTCTACCACTCAATGTACAATGCTGCTCTACAAGTATATGTGAACCAGAAGTAGTAGTTGTGCGGTCACCGGCCACTACATGCATGGTAGTGCATGCATGTTCTGGTAGGCTCTGCCTCTACTGCCTTAGGTGCATCTGGTTCTCATTTAGGCTTTTTGGGAGTTCTACCCAGTTATTATTCTATTATTATTCTTTGTCTTCCCAGAAAGAAATTGATTGCTAGGGCATGCAACTCAGCCCTAAAAGAGAGAAACAGAAGTAGTCAAGGCTCATCACTTCAACAAGAAAAAAATTGTGTGCTTGTCCCCAAATAATTTATGTCAAATGTAAGAACAGCATAGGCAAGGAAGATATGTCTTTACAATGGAATGGTATAGCCATAATTCCTTATGCTTCTCCTTCCTTCACAGGAGAAAGGAAAAGCAGTGGAAGATCCCCACTTTCTAGAGGAGAACAATTTCACACCTCATCACTGTAAACCTGACGGTTGGCACAACAGGCACTGGAGTGATGGCTGGATGACGTGCCGTGTGCTAATTATTTTTATTGTAGTTTTTCCACCAAACATTTTGGGAGACTAGAGAGTGGTTGCCTTCAATTGTGCCACTGCTTTAACTGAGCCTGAGACAAGGAGGAATAAACTCCCAGCTCAAAATGTTATCATTTACATTAGTTTTGACTGGAAAAGTTTTAAACTCTGTTATCCTCATATTATGAATTCCTGTGGAAATGAATATTGTGAGAGAGAGAAAATAAATACATTTTCCTACCTGATTGCTGCTTCTTTGTAAGTTCTTGCCATGAACAAATCCATCACACCTGGGAGCCTTTCAGCTCTAGAGAGCACAGAACATACTTCGAGTGATCAATTTAACAAATAATCCTTTGAGGAGGTCAGGCCTTTCTAATCAAGCAAGAGGTTAAATTACACAGTGTTTTCAAGGAAATCTCTTGTTTGTAAAGTCAATCCTAAAGGAGCCCGCCTACAGAGAGGGAAGTGCTAGCAAATGTGTTGGGTGTCATTCTCATTTCAGAACCCTCTGTTCTTCATGCTGTGGGCTCAATAAAAAGATTACCAGAAAGAATATGTTGTCAATACTTACATCTGGGGGCTCACAGGCTCTTTAGTACTAAGCTCTAGGACACTGACATATGTGCAGCTCCCTGCTCTAACTCATGTTCACAGAAAGCACTGTTTGTTCAGTTGGTGGGGTCGCTTTAACTCATGGTGTTGGGTGCGGGGGCTGGGGAGATGAACTGAGCTCCACTTTGGAGCTGATCCAGGAGGAGCTGCTTGCCTGCAACCTCTCTCCCCTAGCACCTCACCACCACCTCAGCTCCAGTACTGTCTGTAGGATGGCAGGGGGGAGAAAGGAGTGGAGGGAACTCTACCCTGGGGTTTGCCTGACCTGAGCTGGAGTGGGTGGGGTGGGTGGATTGGAGCTTCCCCCCACGCTCAAGGTGGGGGGGGGTCCAGTCCACTCAGCCCCCCCAGATCAGGCTGAACAAGCCCCAGCCAGTAGCTACTTCCCTGTCCCTTCCTGTAGATAGCACAGGGGGCAGGGCTGGGTTGCACCAACCCCGCCCCTATTAGGGTAGGGACAGACAAAAGTTAAATGAAGGTGCACCACTTTGGAACACCTTCAGCTGAACCCTCATTACATGAGTGTTAATGTGTCACATGACAAGGCACTTTTAAAGCACTCTACAACTGTTCACTTCTGTCAGGGCATGGATGTAAAGCACTTTCAAGGGGCTAATAGCAGGACAGATATCACTTCTGTCAGCATCTCTAGTGTCCAATTTAAGTGATAATTTCAGGATCCAAATGTAAACTGGTATTCCTAATTTAAATGCCCACATTTTCGTCTCATTTACAGCATAAGCGGTGGGGGGAAATATTATTTGGGAGGGGGCTGAGCTCTGTCTGACCCCCGCTCCTCCCTCCTGCAGGACTGTTGTGGGGTGGCATGTACTGGTGCTGTACACAACAGCAGAGAAGTGACTGCATGCCAAGCAGTGACAGATGCAGTGGGATGGCAGTGCTGTGGTGCTGCTGCTGTTGCTGGCCACTGCAAAAAGTTTTGGGGGGATAAGCCCCTTTAGCCCCGGCCTTCCACTGCCTATGCCTTACAGTACTAGAAATACACTATCTTCTAAGGAGTTACAAGGTAATTCTGCTATTCTTCCTCTCCTTAAATTCAGAGAAGACTTTCTTTTTCTTAGAACCCTGTAAAAGAGTCCTTTTTGTTGGACAAAACAAAAAAAAAGTATATTTTTAAAATCTCATGGAAAGTACAATGTAGCCTATCTAAACATTTCTGGCTATACCAACAGCTGCTGAGAACTGCAATGCTTGAGACTACAAAGCCACTGTAGGCTGAAAGGATATTGTGCATCACTCTACCATAGCCCATCAGGCTGGTAAAACAGGCTCCCAGTCATGGAAAGAACACTACCCTAAAAAAAGATTATTTTCCTCCTAGGGATCATACCAATCTGTCTAGGAAGGGTAATGTTTTTTGCTGAAAAAAAAAGATGGTGAGTGCAGAATGTGACACTTCTTCTCCTTTCTCTGTCATGAAATTTTACAAAAATCTCTTTGCACAGTTAAAAATGTACAGTGTGAAAACTTGGCATTTGTTCAGCTTTCTCTCTTCTAACATAACACAAGCAACTTAGCAATTGTTTAATCTTTATTCATGGAAAATGTCAGGAAGTTTACTGAAAATAAGAGGCTCTGTAAGTATGTGTTCAAGTGTGAAGTACATGGGATGCAGGTACACTTCTATAATGCACTGTACAAATTATGTTGTCAATACCATGCTATATACTGGTTCATAATAGAAATCAAGAAAACCTAGCATTTACCTTACCTCTTCCTCAAAATCTGAACAGCACCTTCACAAAAGTGAGAAAGTTTGGTTGTCTGGCTCCTACTTTTTGGTTTAAATGAAAGCAGAAGCAACAAGATTCTTAAAGCTTGATAAAACCCAGATATAGAAAGCACATGAAGGTGTATGTTCCCAAGAGCTCTCTAGCTTAATTCAGATTCAGGCCAGGTATCAATTCAGAGATTCATAGAAACCTTTGGAAATTTGTGTGATACAAATAGTTTATGTCTGCCCATCACTGGGTCTTACGGGTAGACAACTATGTATAAAGCCATGTTGACTTAGCATACCCCAAATGTAAAATACCTGTAACACCCACATTTCTTACTTCATATAACTGCTTTGCAATGACTAGGATTTATGAGTATTGGGAAAATGAGCATAAAGGCGGAAAGTGGAGAAAATGTTACCTACATTCAGAGCTGCCTCATTTGGAAGAGGAAAACATATTACTGCTATTTCTCTCTCCAGAATCTGTTCCCATTCACATCAATGTCAGTCTAGAGTAACTCCTTTTACATTGGTCAATGGGATCTCACCAAGTTAGTGCAAATACTTTATATTTGCTATTATTAGCCAGGCATGGAATTTGTACCTAATGTGAATTTCCTGTCTCCTGTAAAGGAAGTTTATTCTTGAGGGGAAGCACTGGCATCTCTGAACATTTAGGACCAAATCTGTTCTAAGTTACTTCAGTGGAGTCATTATATTTATTATAGATATACAATAGAGTAACTTAGACAAACAAAATTTACCCTTTAATTTTCTATAATGTAATCAACAATAGTTTGCAAAAGGCAATGGTAGAGACTTGAACAACACAAGCAGGAGTAAAATGATAGGTGTTTCTGTGCCTAAAACTATTTCACTTGGTGAGAAATGATCTGTGTTCCTTGATACATCAGACACTATATTGGTGAGTCACATAAATCCTCAAACTTAAATGTTAACAGTGTGATTAGTCCATAACTCTCAGCTGATGTTTCCAGAAGGTCTTCATTTGAATTTGTGCCTCCAGTAAAACACTTGGAAATTGTGTTGGCTGTGAGCAAGTTCTCTAACTATTAAAAAAAAAATCTTTCACAATTTATTCCCAGGCCTCCCCCTTCACAGATCAGACTATATTTTTATTATTATACAAGTGCTTGGAATTCTTCTTTCAGCTGCCATGACAAGGTAAGAAGATTTTCAAAGACACAAATGGAAGGTAAGCACCTGCTTTCCTTCTGAATCTTTGAAAATCTACTTCTAAGTCTGCTTCCAGTTTCTAGTTTATACCACACCACCTGGAGTGCCTCTTCATTTTGATACAGCACTAAAAAAGGAAGGGTTTCTGGTTTCAGTGTGAAAAACAGAAGGCTGATATGCTTTGATTTATACCCCGACTTGAGCCAGAGGGAATTTCACACAAAAGGTGCACAATAAGCCAACATCCCTTTTGCTTTACATTAAAAATTAGGGTCCTTCAAAAATCAAGGGTCCTCATTATTTCATTTGAACAGGATTTCTGTGCTGCCGTGCTCCCAGCATAATCTAATTCCATCCCAATTCTGTGGTCTTGTTCTGTTTTGTTTTACAGGAAGCAAGGCAGCAGATGCTGAAGAGAAGCTAATGAACCACCTATTAAGCTCTGAGAGGTATAATAAGTTAATTCGCCCAGCAATCAACTCCTCCCAGTTGGTATCTATACAGCTACAAGTTTCTTTGGCACAGCTAATCAGCGTGGTAAGTTTAAATAAGCTGCACATTTTCATATTTTACTACTGTTACACAACACTGTGTAAACGATATATATATTCTTAGTACCACTAGGCCTCTAGATACATAATAATTATCAATGGTCAGAACACATGTGTGTTTTAGGCTAGGTACAGATATTCAAAAAGCCCAAGGCAGAATTAATCTAAGTTACACTGTCTACTGTAAATGGCATAGTTTAGATCAGTAATGAACCGAATACACATTTGTTCTTTGTGAGGGTGGAAGGGGGAGGGAGAAAATCTTAGACTGGGTTCTGCCATTTTTAAACCAGTCCGTGTATGCTGATCTTCTGTTCTGAGTATAGACCAGTTTCTGTTCACTTATACCAGTAGAAGTGTAATGTCTGTACCTAGCCTTAATGCCTACTCTTGCATCAGTCAATATTTGGACTATATCACTATAACCTTCAATCAGCCAAAAGGAGATTTATTGATGGCTAAATTTTAAAATACAAAAAAAACCCCCAAAAAGCCTGATCCCCAGCTGATTATAGTTATTAGAATTTCACCGACTTGAGAAAAGCTGCAGTGATTTACACCAGAGGAGAATTTTCATAGAATGCATAAGTAACGGTGAATCACATTTCTGTTTACAGTCAGAAAGTAAGACTGAATAGTCTGAGTATCAGAGAGCCAACCAAATGCTCCAAGTCTTGCTGTGGTCCAGGATGAATCACTTAGGTCTATATCAATCCCTATTTCAGATAGTGTATACATCCTCAAACATCTCCAGATTGCATTTAGGCCTGCTCCTTTCTTATCCTACTCCTTTAGGCATAGCCTAATTTAAAACAAAAGTGAAATGATTGTCAGTAAACCTGAGCTAGCTAACACATTGGAACATACTAGCCTGAACACTCTACAGACGCTTGTTCCTCGAACCCAGTAAGGCAAACTACAAGCACAAGAGTGTCCAGAGTAGTATGTACATTAGCTGATTCAAATCAATTCACAATGATTTACCTGAAGTTAAAAAGGTTTTTGTGTACATTAACCCTAAGGCCACATTTACACTGTTAAAATGTTAAAATTCTGATGCAAAGAAGCCAGGTGTAGATTAAGCCTGTGTTCAGTGATTGAGATAAACCCTAAAGGGAGAGCCTAGCATTTCCTTTGACCTGTTAACACATTAAAACATGGTTTTTTTCTCAATATAGGGCTGGTCTTAGGGAACAGAGCAGAGGGAGGATCTGCTACTGCTCATAGGTAGACTTCATGAAAGAACAAGTAGGGAACTATTTAGAAAAGCTGGACAAAGACAAGTCCATGGGGCCAGATGGGCTGAATTTGGCTGATGAGATTGCAGAGCCATTGGCCATCATCTCTGAAAACTCATAGCTATCAGGAGAGGTCCCAGATGATTGGAAAAGGGCAAACATACTGCCCATATTTAAGGGAAAACGGAGGATCCAGGCTCACCTCACCTCATCCAGTCAGCCTCACCTCATCTAGCATCTCCCTATGAGAAAGATCTTGGTGAAATGAGAGAACACTGGACAAACTGACTAATGCAGCACCAACTCTGGCTCAGGACAAGGGAAAGGGGTAGGCTGATTTCCCAGCTGCATGATAAAGAGATGATAAAAGGAAGACTGAGTAAGAAAAACGAGGAAATTATCATGTTTAATGTATGCTTATATGAATTCTAGGAACTTGCATAATATAGCCAATTTGTAGAGGTAAGTAGAACAACTACCGAGACAAGTTCCACACCAGGACAATGTCCGGGAACTTAAAATCCACTTGGCAATATTTATAAGAATAATATTATGCATCTCAATTTGTTTAGTTTATCTTTATATTTTTTGACTTTCACAAGCATCTTATCTCAAAAGCAGCTCTGCTTTCTGCAGTTGCCCTGCAGATCTCTGGCAACATCTAAGGATAATGCAATTTCCTTTCCGTCCCTCTGTTCCATGCAGACTCTTTTTACCCTAGCTACCAAGCCAACTCACAAGATGACAATCAATGCAATTTGAGAGATATCATTCCAAAGTAGCCAGACTGATTTACAAAGGATACTCCCCTATTTCTAAAAGGTAGAGCTGGCCCAAGCTACCGAGCTATGAAGACCTCTGTTTATGTACCAGACAGGTACAGTTGACACAGGAAGGCAAGCTTCCACTAATGAGCCTCAACCCACATGGAAGAACCCTTTCTAGAAGTAAGAGACCCAGCAAGATTTCATGTCCATTAGAGCTCTGCCTTCTTGTTGAGACTGCCCTCCACAGGGTACATTACAGCCATGTACTGGCTTTAAAGAACCATACTGAGACTTATTTTAGACAGCACAGCATCATCAACTATTAGTCACTATTTACTTGGGCTGGATTTGAGCCAGCAAATGAGGAGTATAAGAATCTATAATCCAAAGACAGCCTCCTGAATGTTCATTTTTGTTACTCTTTACTGCTTGGAATATCCTTCAGTTTGGAAATAGAATTTTACATCTAAAAATGTCTTGATTTTTCCATTTGGTGAATATTGCTTTCTATTTCAGACAATTATCCCCATAAACATCATATTAACCACACAAACGGTGCCATTTTGTTACCTGTCCTTGTGGTGTACAAGCATCACTAATAAGACCCTCAGAAATGAGCTCTGGCACCCAGATCTGGTATTTAATTGCGTCTGATAAGCCAAAAGCAGGTCTCATATTTTTTTGTCCCTGGCTATGCAAATTTGGTGACTATTTTAAAAAAATCAGCAAAGGAATGATAGATTTTTAAGAGTTCTTTAGAATCTGGATGTTGCTTCACATCATTTTTGTATAGGAAAATATTTAGGGGGTCAGCTATTGGATAGTGATTATACCTTGGTGGTTTTGCACAGACTTCAGTATTCCAAAAGGGTAATTCTGGTCTTCCCTTAGGCTTCTTATTTTTTCCATCAGCCATATAGTTAAGGTTGTTGTTGTTTCTGGATCATCAGGGCAGGTATTTTTTTACATTGTTGAAATAATGCAATAATTGGTTTTGCTGCTAAGTTTTTTTCTAGGTCTCATGAATATGCCAGAGTTTATAAGACATCAGGACTCCAACTTTAATACAAATCATTTTGTATAACTTACACATCCTCCATCAATCTTATTTCAACTGCAAATGTTACCAGCTATTACTTTATTTTTCTACCAAATTGTTGATAGAAATATTGAACAACATAGGGCTACAAACAGATCCCTGCGGGAGCCCACCAGAACCACCCACAAAGGATGATTCCCCATTTATAATTTTATATGTTTGAAAGGAACTGTATAATGGTATGAAACACCATGTTACATTTTATGTAATTATTATAATACAGTGACAGAGTTGTGCATCTTAGTGATATATACCAGTAGACACAGAAAGATTTCTACACTTATAAAAGGTTGGATTAGCATATGTATTAAATCAATTTAAGCTCCCAGGAGTTAGAACTAGTCTTGAAAGCCTAATGAATACATCTGAATAATAAGAGTAACTTTTATACTGAAGCCTTTATAAATTATTTTCTTTGTCTTTAGAATGAACGTGAACAGATCATGACCACAAATGTCTGGCTGAACCAGGTAACCTTCCCAAAGCAATGCTACCTCAATCTGTTAACATGCTGTTTTCTTGCTACCAGTAGGTCCCAACTGGCAGAAAAATAATTGAGATCACCACTGTGTGATTTTTTCTTTAGGAATGGACTGACTATCGTTTGGTATGGACACCTTCTGACTACGAAGGCATAAATAAGCTAAGGATACCTGCTAAACATATTTGGCTGCCAGACATCGTACTTTATAATAAGTAAGTCTTGATTTAATATATATGTATATCTATATAGCTGCAGAGACATTCAGCAGACACAAGGTCTATCACCTTAATAAGAAAAGCATTGAGCTCTATACCTCTGCAGAGAAAAAACACTTAAGATAAGCTTAGCAAAATATTTAAATTAATATTTTATATGGTTAAAATGAAAACTCTTCAAGAAAAATATGTATTCATGACACCTTGGATTACAGTGGACGAATAACCTTACAGTTGAACAAATCTTTGTGATTAAAAATCTAACTAGCATTCTAGAACAGGAAACTTCTTATGGCAATGGTTTTGAAATCTGAGATGTCTCAGAATTAAAATGTAAATTGCTTAATTTTGCTACTCCTGCAATCAGTTAACAAGACCTCCACTGGCTCCTAGCAGAGCAGAATCATACCTCAGATGTTCAAATAATACACAGTGGAGAGTCTCAAAGCACAAGGGAATGCAGTGAAGAAAAAATTAAAATCTGTGAACATTTATTTCAGATGTTCATTTTGAAGTTTTGTGGAGCAGTTAAAGTGCATTTGATGCTCAAGGTTATAAAATAAACACGTGTAACACAGCATGAGAAGAGCATGAAATGGAAATGCAGGCACAGTCATGCATGAATAGGGAAAAAAATCTCTTGCTCAGAGAAGGACAAAATGACTGGATCTGAACAGATATTTAGCCTAAAACAACACAACTTAATACATTTAGTCTTGAAAAAGCACAAAAGAAACCTTGCATTTCATGTTTTTCCCTGTTTCTACTCCCCAAAAGCCTTCTGTGAGGTGGATTTTAGTTGTTTTGTTGGGAAGATGGGTTTTTACATGATAAAGGTCTCAACTAAGTCAGAAACAATGTTGTTAAAGCCTACCATATGTTATAGTTAGCCACTTCAGCACCTGGCAAGGCCTTAGGCAAACTGTATAAAATATTCCTTCTGAAGATTAAGAGAGGGCAGACAATTAATTGTTCTAAGCAGCAAGTCAGCCAATAACAACGAAACATTGTGGCACAGCTTATGGTCCTGGAGTGACTCCGCAGATCAAGGAAAAAAACCCAAGCACAAATAGTGCATCTGATCAGTGTGAGATGGGAAAGCACATGGCCCTGAAGCAGAAAAGCTTTCATCTGTTATTTATATTACATTTGTACCTCAAGGCCCAACTTAGACTGGAAACCTATTCTGGTATGAGACAGACACTGCCATAAAGAGCCACCCATCTAAACACAGAACACAGCTGGAAAAGGAAAACAGACGTACGTGACCTAGGCCTGGCCTAGGTCACACAGCAGGTCAGTGGCAGAGCTAGGAGTACAACCATGGTCTCCTAAGTTCAAGAGCCTTTCCCCACAGGCTTATTAACTATGTGGCCAACATGGAGAAAAAAAAGACCATTTGAATTATATAAAGGGTTTCTATAATGATGAATATTGGTTGATTGGCAGTATGTTGAAGACCCCTATACTTATATGCTGCTACTTGTATTCTACCCAAGTTTAGTGGTATCGAGACATAGAGCTGTTCGGATCTGGCTGTGGTTTAGTTATCTATCTGAAAAAGTCTTCGTGATTTTAGCTCAGGTCTTGTACCTGGGGTTGTTAGTCTGTCACCTTTCAGATATAATTGATTGGCAGTTAATAAATGGGCACTCACAGCATAGATGCACAGAGCCAGGGCTATTGTTTAAAACTGAGAAGAAACCTCAGTAACTTCTTCAAAGTGCTTTTATCAGTAGAAGGAATCCATTATGCATATATGTGAACATCACAGGGCAAATATTCTGCTCACTTATACCCAGGATGAAATTATCTGAGGCTATGTACAGACATCCGGGGAGGTTAGGGGAAGGATAGATCAAGTTAAAAATGGCTATCTGATCTAAGGTAAGTCAGAATGGGGATGGGGACTAGCAGGGGTGAGGTCTTGGAGGGATCAGGGGGTCCATGGGAGAGATCGGGGAGCAAGTGGTGTCCACAGAGGGATTGGGAGTGGGGGGGGGCAGGGTAGAGTCTGGGAGGGTTTGACAGGATCAGAAAGGCTCATGGAGTCCATGGGGGGGCTGGGGGAGGATTGGAGGGGCTCTCCCCCCTTGGAATAGGGGCTATGTTTTGCCCTCTGATCTTGACATGCCTAGACTAACAACCCTCCCAGAAAAACCAACCACCCCATCCCTCCTCCCACACCCACCCCAACTTACTTCCTCAGCTCCTGGCATTCAACAAATGCTGGTAAAACCAGCATCTGGAGTGGCTTGCAGGATGAGGGGTTTGCCTGGCTGGGGGTGGGGAGGTTGTCCATTTGGGGTGGCGCCAGTGACTGGATTTTCCTAGCACCATGGCTGGGCTGGAACTGTACAGAAGTTCAGTTAGATCAGTCTCACTGGACCCAATCTAAACTAGACTACCTCAGAGGTATAGTTAACTTAGATTGAGTCATCCATTTTTAGACTGATCTAACTGTCCTGAATTTCTGTACAGTTTGCACTTAGACTGACCTAACTAGGGATCTAAAGGCATCTTTACACATGCTCTGGGGTAGGGGGAGGGTCCTTTAAATTAGAGCGGCTCTCAGGAGCCGCTCTATTTAAAGTGCCTGCAGCATCTTGTGTATTCAGCGCCCCACACTTCAAAACGGTGACAGGCACACTAACTAAAGCTCTTTCTATGAGCTTTAGTTAGAGCACCCCTGCAATTATTTTGAAGTACAGGGATGCTGAATACATGTGACGATGAGGTTGCTAGAGCATGCTAATTAGCACGCTCTCGCAGATTCAATTAATCGAGTCTGCTTTGACGTGTTCTAATCAGAACATATTGGAGCAGGCATCGGACATGTGTACAGGTACCCTAAGTGCAAGATCTTCACCTGGGTGAACTAAGTGAGATCAGAGGGCCATTTTGAATTAATATCTTACATTTTTTATGTGGTCTAACCTCCTCAAACATCTGTATGCACCCTGAAAGTTCTTGTGATGAGATATAGCCTTTAAATAATATATACATTTTATTATGGTCCTTATTTAAACATTAAAAAAGAGGAAAACTATACAAAAGTAAAGAGCACAGTAGTCCAGACATGTTCTCTTCCATTTTTGCTCTATTCTAACTCTAAAAAATGGCTAACCTGGCTTTATTAAAAGTTACTTACTCAAGATGTTGTTCATGTGCTTCTTTTTTATTAAAAACTAAGGTGATAAATAGTTGCTCCTTCTAGTCTGATGGTGTCCTCAATAGCAGCATTAATCAAATATAGAAGTAAATACTATTTAAGCTAGTATTGCCTTAAGGATAACCCCAGGTAACCTGTCTGCATTTTACCATCTATATTCTTCTATCATCAATTCAACATTCCCCCTTTTACCCCCACCCCCCAGTCTGCCTCACACCTATTGTCTTCCACCCCACTGATCCTCACTGCCACGCATTTGCATTTTCACAGACCTGCATTTTGGCTTCTATTCTACCCAAGAGAGCACACAATTCACCAGACTCTCCCTACACCTGAAGAAGGGTGTTTGTGCCCAAAAGCTTGCAAAGAACAATTTTCCCCAGCTATTTAGTTGGTCTAATAAAAGATATCACATCTACCCAAAGAACCTTGCCTGCCTTAAGAAGGGACACAATTAAGCAAAATAAATTAAGGTTTAGTGAAAGAGACTGTTAAAATAACTCTATCAGGATAATTACACTTTCAAGAATATTTATTTGCTGTCATGACCTATTACACTGCTATCTCTACACAAATCATAAGCTAAGCAGTACTCGAGCTGTAAAGAGAAGGCTGACTGCTTTAAGAAATGGGGTCAATTGGTCAGTTGGCAACATTCTTGTCAGTAAACCAGCAACCCACCAAGAGGGAGGAAGACCGTATTTTTTAGGAAGTTCAGTCTTTTAACTAAGACACAAACCCAAGGCCATTTGTGGGCACTAAAAATCCTGTGGCATTTTTTTTGTAAGAGGAGGAGCAATAAACACAGCATCCTGACTAAATTATAACTCGTGTAATTACATTTCTTTGCCTACATTCTCTATTTTCAACTAAGCATAAAATTCATTTTCATTTCCTGATTTAAAACCTTTAGTAGTGTTGTTGGGAGCCATTAAGTAATGGCTGTGTTCCAAACCAAAGACAGCTGCATTTCAGCAATGGCTGATTTCATCTTTGCTAGCCGTTAGCAATATACTAGTGCTCAGGTAAATTAATTAATGTTTGAAAAGTGCTCTGTGCTCATGGATGAAACAAGCTACAGATGTGCAAATTCACTGATAATTGTTAACATTATTACTTCTACCTAAATATTGGAGAAAATATTAATACTTTAGGTTAAGAAAATGTATTAAAATGTAATTGTCAGGTTTTAAACAGGTAGAAACAGTTATATTTCAGTCACCATTGGACTATAAAAACTTCTGTAGTATTTGTGCCATGATTTTGGATTTAGCAGAGGGGGCTGAGAATCCAGGAGATTGTCTTTCTCTGAGTTTTGAACCCAGATTCTATCCTATGCAGTCTCTTTCTTCTTTTCCCTTCCCATTTCTACAGTGCGGATGGCACATATGAAGTCTCCCTGTATACAAATGCAATTGTAAAGAACAATGGAAGCATTTTCTGGTTGCCACCAGCCATCTACAAGAGTGCCTGCAAGATTGAGGTGAAGCATTTTCCATTTGATCAACAAAATTGCACATTAAAATTCCGGTCTTGGACATATGATCACACAGAGATTGATATGGTACTTAAAACGTCCATGGCAAGCATGGATGACTTTACACCCAGTGGAGAGTGGGACATTATAGCACTCCCCGGAAGAAGAACTGTAAACCCCTTGGATCCAAATTATGTTGATGTGACATATGATTTTATTATTAAAAGAAAACCTCTTTTTTATACCATCAACCTTATCATTCCCTGTGTGCTAATTACATCCTTGGCCATCCTGGTGTTCTACTTGCCTTCGGACTGCGGTGAAAAGATGACCTTATGCATATCTGTACTGCTTGCTTTGACTGTGTTCTTACTGCTGATCTCCAAAATTGTCCCTCCAACATCACTGGATGTTCCATTGATTGGAAAGTATCTGATGTTTACAATGGTACTAGTGACATTCTCAATAGTTACCAGTGTCTGTGTACTAAATGTCCATCACAGATCTCCCAGTACTCACACTATGCCTCCATGGGTTAAGCTGATTTTCCTTGAGAGACTTCCAACATACCTGTTCATGAGGCGCCCAGAGAATAATTCTGCAAGGCAAAGGTTATGCAATCGCAGAAAGACTAGATCTGAGAACCTGTGCGCTGATCCAGCTGACCTGTATAAGAGCTCCACCTATTTTGTGAACATTGCCTCTGCCAAAAAGTATGATCTGAAATTGACAGAGAATCCTGATAACATCAGTAGCCATCGAGATGTCAGGTTGCGATCTTCAACAAAGTTTTCTCCTGAAGTCCAAGAAGCAATTGATGGGGTCAGTTTTATAGCAGACCACATGAAAAGTGATGACAATGACCAGAATGTAAGTAAAAGGAGAAATAATTCAGTTTTTCCAAGGTTGTGTTTTACTTGATGTTTTAAAAATCTGTGTCCTTCTCCAAGAAAAGGAAAGAAGTATACATCCAACCCAGAGAGGTAGTAGAATCTCCATCCTTGGAGGTCTAAGACCCAGCTAGACAAAGCCTTGGACAGGATGATCTAGTTGGGGATGGTCCTGGTTTGAGCAGAGGGTTGGACTAGATGACCTCCTAAGGTCCCTTCCAACCCTAATTTTCTATTATTCTTACACACACACACACTAGCAAATTGCCTGTCAAAAAAGATGGGGGGGGAGTGGCAGGGACAGAGCCCAGTGTTCAGCTCTGTGGCCCTACTCCCCCCGTGTTCATCTGGCCCCTCCCCCTTCAGGCCTGACCCTGTTTCCCCCCACAATGGTTCAGGTCCAGGCCCGCTCCTCCCTTCCCCCCTCCCTGCAGTGGGCCTGACCTCATTTCCCCCCCTGCCATGGACCCCGCCACTTTGAAGCCGGGCCTGTTCCCTCCATCCTTGCCTCTGCTTCTTTGGGGCTGGAGCCAGGGCTGGGGCTGGGGCCCCTCTCCCCACCCCACCCCTGCTGCAGGTCTGACCCTGTTCTGCCCCCCTGCCGCTGCTCCAACCCCATTCCCTGCCACCACTGCCTCCTCCCCCGGTCCCCTCTGTCCCTGCCATCTTGGCAGCGCTCCTCCACACAGCCTCCTGCTGGCTGAAACACCCTTGGAGCACTCTGATTGGCCGCTGAGACAGACAATCAGTGTGCAAATAAAGCATTATGGACAGACAGACTAGGGCTTTATATATATTATGGCTGTACCAAACTTCAGTAGCCAATCTGATTCAGAGGAGATTCGGCCGGATTCAGAGACCAAATCTCCAAATCCAAATCAAATCAGGAGACCAATTAAAAGCTTCAAATCAATTTGAAGCATCCAAATAGATTCGGAAAAGATTCAGAAAAGGTTTGGCAATTTGGCCACAGGCTAAACAGGCAGCTGCCCCAGCTGGTAAGTCTGCTGGGGTTGGAGGAGGGAAGGGGCACCGGGGTGGGAGGGATTGGGGCTGAGGCTGGGACAAGCTGCACAGCGAGGGCGGGGGGCACAGGACTCGAGGAGGGGAGTGAGGGATGCAGGCACGGCAGCACTCGGAGCAGGGACCTGGGGTGGGGTGGCGGGATCTGGGTGCAGCTCGCTCCAGGTGAAAGGAGGCAAGCAGCAGCAGGGCATAACTACCACTCCCACAGCTTCTGCACCTGCGTGGCACCCCACCCCTGGCAAGCAGCAGCAGCACCCACCCCCTGCACCGGCTGGCAAGTGGCAGCAGGGTAGAGTCTCCATTCCCAGCACTGATGTGGGCGTGGCAGTGCTGGTTTGCCCCCTTCCGCCTGGAGTCAGCCACACACGCATCCCAGCTCCTCTCTGCCCCATCTGGGCAAGAGGCAGCAGGGCAGAGCCCCCACTCTGAGTGCTGCCATGCCCGAATCCTATGCCTCTTACCCCCCTCCCCAAGTAACAAGTCCCCCCACCCTAGACAGGTGATTTGTCCCAGCCCCACTCCCTCTCCCCCTTCCCACACCCTTTCCCTCCTCCCTCCCCCAACCCTAACAGACTTACTAGCTGGAGGCAGCCATGTCAGCTGTATGTTTAGTCTATGGCCAAATCTCTGAAACGGTGCCAAATCTTTCGGATCTGATTTGACTGAATCGAATCAGGACAGTGATTCAGATCTCCAAATTGAATCATTGTCCTCCGAATCGGCCGAATCTGAAGTGAATACTTGCCACTTCACACGGGCCTTTTATATAATCTATTTATTTATTTATTATTTTCCCATAAGTTATCACTGGGTGCATCTACACAAGATGCCTTACTGTGCAGCAGACTAATTTGCTGCACAGTAAAGCATTATTATCTACACAAGCATAGCAATTAGGGCCCAATAGACTAATTTACTGTGCTGCAGATACAAGTGATATACAGCAGTGCAGTAAATTAGTGTATTTAAATGCCCATGTACACAGTGACATCAGGATTAGTTTACTCTGTCTCAAATTGAGCCAGAGTAGACTCAGTCACATGAATTGCATGTGTAGACATGCCCACTGTTTACTAGAAGAAAATTTATAGAAAATGGACTTGTGAATAGTCCTTTGAAAAACAAAAAAGTGTCCTGAAAAGCAGGGTGCCAGCCAGCCAGGAACCCCATCTCTACAAACAGAGCACATTTATTGCTCAGGGAAAGGGAAAAGAAGCAAAATGTTTTTATATCAGAGATGTGATAGCATGCCCAGCCCTCCAAGTTGTATGCAGCAGGGAGAGTTTTAACATTCAACCTCAGACTGAGGCAAGGAGGCGGGCAGCACATTCAAATGCTTTTTTCCTGTTGATTTTGGCAAGACTATAATGAAGCCCACAATAAAGGGAATGTCTGTAACTCAGCCTTGAGCAAAGCATGGCTGGGCCTGGCCAGAGTGAGATTCACCTGAAAGTTAATCTACAAACAGTTTGTGCACTGATTTAACTAAAGGGGGAAAGAAAATGACTTGGTTAAATTGCTGCAAACTCCTATGAACACACTAGATGAATAAAGATTGTCCTATATCAATTAGTTCTCCCACTGTGTGAGACACCTGTACATCCTGCTGCCAACTGTGGCCATTAGACCTTTCTGGCAAGAGCAGGGATGGAATGAAGATCCTCATACTGCAGAAGCTGACACTTATTTCACATGAGATGAAGGTGACATTCCTTAGGCTAGTAGTAAATGCATAGTTGAGCAGTTTTGCTTCCCTCTTATGTCTGCAGACAGACACACCATTCAACTTCATATAAATATTTATGGAATAATGTTTGGCAAAGTCCAAAGGTTCAGTGTTTAATCCAGATATGCACCTATGGCTGAAGAAACCTACTGTGACATCTATTCATATTCCCTAGGTGACCTTGCTGTACCCCTACTTCCAATCTAGCCCTAGGTCCTCAATTACTGCTCTGTACTCCTTTCTCCTCTGCTGTTAATCAATCAGTTTAGTACTTTTGGAAGCCTGGTTCCTTTTTTAGCATCAGATCCAAGAACGTCTTCTAGGATCTAGTCCTCCATCTATGTGACTTTTTGTATTTTTCTACTAAAGTGTTATTGGTTATTGTAAATAAGGAAGATGAGCTGTTAAATCTATGACAATCAGAGGTAAGGTTACACAGACTGCAATAAATTTGATATAGGTGCAGGCTGTACAGTGCTGAAAAAGCAAAAGACAGGAAGTCTTGCAAGAGCTAGCACTGTATATTAAAGGATTTACAAAACCCGTTTCATTTGAGACTAAAGAGAAATTGTCATGGGTATTTGCAAGCTAGAAATTAATGTAATGCCTTTTGCACATAGGTCATCTGAAATTAGGCAAAAAGCTCAGCTACATATCATTGTTTTCTACATTCTGAATTATAATCTCTGTTTTTTTATTACTGTGACTGTCAGATAACTGTTTGCATACCTACACTGTATGGCTAAAATGGACATGTACTGCAGGGAAAACACACATAAATGGGATAGTACAAGGAATAAGATAACTGGGAAGTACTTGTAAGGCTATCAAGGGGAAGATGTTCTATGTTTAATTAAAGTCAGTTACACAGGAAAAAACTGTGAATAATATACAGGGGAAGCGTGTGTGTGTGCATGCCTGCAATTTAAGAAATGTATGCAAGGACTGACCCTAAATTGACACGGATATGAAAACAATAATTGTTTTCCACTTTACTAAAATCAAAGCATACTGAGAATCAAGATCAGCTGCAGTGCTCTATTCATAATGGGGATGGACAATATTTACCACAATTAAACTGATATAATAATATCACCAAATTAAAATTCACAAACAAGAATTTACCTGACTAGATTATACCATAGGTCCATCAGACTAGCACCATGCATTTAGCTGCAGCCAGCGCTTTATGCATCAGAGGAAGCTGAAAAATATTTCCAGGCCCTTCTACAACTGTCCAGACAGTACAGAGAAAATTCCTTCCTGACCTGTGAAATGATTGTCTTGAAACCTGCCCTTGAGATTGGTATCCTCTTCTTTTCGCACACAAATAGCACAGATTAAGTAGCAGCAAGGGAGAGGGAACTGAATATGACAAATTGCTAATTATCTTTAATTGTCTTTTTCTTCCAGGTCATTGAAGATTGGAAATATGTTGCCATGGTAGTGGACAGACTGTTTCTTTGGATATTTGTCTTTGTTTGTGTACTGGGGACTGTTGGATTATTTCTCCAGCCACTTTTTCAAAACCACTCTGTTGCTGGAAACCTGTAATTTGCATTTAAAGTTGTCAAATGCTTACATAGATGCTGGCCCATGCTCTGCTTTCAGTTCCGCATCAAATGAATGGTTCTGGGTTTAACTGAGAAGTAAGACAGCATTTGTCTTGTTGTGTTATAATGATAGAAAATATCCAAAAGACAATTTCTTTTTTAATTTAATTATTTTGAGGCAAAATTGGTGCTCTCAATCTGGTTAAACCCAAGTTTTACCGAAAAAGATGTTAATCTATTCAATCTGAGTCAGGCTACACAAGGATTATTAAAATCATATCGTACTTGGGTCTCTTTGTGAAGGACATTTTCTTTCCATGTGGTCCTACAGTTAGAACATCGCACAATTTCTCGTTTCAAGAGAAATGCTTTTACTGTCTTTATTTCCTTTAAATGCATTAAACCAATATACAAACACATTTATACACTCTTGTTCATTGGAAAAATAGAAATAAAATGTGAACAAGTCTCCTTTATAAAGCTTTACTCCTAAAATAATCCTGTATTTTACTTCAATAAAGGGATTCAATATATAGAATCATAAATCTAAGGGTCAAGAGTGAAGTGTACAAGGAACAGAGATGAGTCAAGAAATAAACTGAACTGCAGATTATGTAGGGACTACAATATAAGGTACACATAGCTGAGGTTGCTCACCCCTGGCCCATGGGCCAGATTTGGCCTGTAGAGCCATGTCATCCAGCCTACAGAGCTCCCCACAGACATGAAAATGTGGTGGTGGGAGAGCAAAGCAACTTTAATTGCCACTCTTCGGCTGCCAAATTTCTGACCTGTGGGAAGCCCTGCATGCTGGAAAGCATGGGTCTGCATGCTAGATTGGGTGCATAAGGCCAAGGTGGTATGGGGTCTGATGGAGGCAAATAGGGCCAATGTGAGGTGGTGTGGGGCCCAATCCAGCTGCACAGAGCCCAGTCCAGGCTCACAGGGCTGGGCCAAGGTGGCATGGAGCCTGATCCAGCCACACAGAGCCCCAGCTGGACCCCAAGATCCAACCTGCTGATGGGCCCAGAGCCACTGATCTGACCCATAGGGCCAAAAGATTGAGTATCACTGCACATACCCAAGCTAGTTTGGGTGGTAGTAGCCACAACATCATAGAACTCAGCACAGGTTAATCTACCTGGCTTCTCAGGCATATTTTGCAACCTGCATTGAGCTCTCTGCTGCCATTGCTAGACTGATACCAGTACCTGACCTTGCTAATTTAAAAGTAGCTAGGACATGTCTACTCTACAGTCACTGTTAGGAGTCTGACTCTCAGCCTGTGGAGAAAGAAGTGCTGTTAAAATGGGGAAGAAACAACCAAGAAAGATCAGTCCTGAGAGATCATCCTGTTTTGTTCGAGAAAGTGATTCTAGTGCATGAGTGTGATTTAAAATATTTTGCTGTCTGATCCTCCAAAAATAGCCTAGAAAGCACGTGAACACTTGTATTATGTTCAAGTCTTAAGTAGTCACAGAGTCAATGTCCAATTTTTTGCCACAGACTAGTCCCACCAACTTTGTTATATACTATGTGTACTCTGAAGCAAGAGAACTGGATTCCTGGCTCACAGTTTTCATGATGGACCAGTCTCAACTCAGTGTAGTGACTTTACTACCATTGAACAACACAGCTGAAGCAAACCATTGAGGTACCTCAGTGCATACAATGGAGAAGCTCAAAAACACCAATTCAGTATGAGGCTTACAATAAAGGTAATTACTTATTTAGCAAGTCACAACTGTATGCAGCATTGACTTTATCCTGACTCTATTTCTATGTCAAAACATACCAAAGAACCTATTACAAGGGGGACCCTGCAACTGGCATCCAGAAGCAGAAAGAAATGTTTATTTTTGTGTACTGTTTATTTTGGGGTATTTATGTTTATGTTTATGTTTGTTTATTTATGTTTAGCCTGAAGTGATCCTCAATCAGCTTGTGCCCATTATTTCTTGCCCTCCCCTGGGGGGCCTTGGTGAACAGATGGTCCCCCGGCCCTGATGTATATCCTTGATATACTTACAGGCTGCCACCAAGTCCCCTCTGAGTCTTCTCTTGTCCAGGCTGATCAGTCCCAAGTCTTTCAGCCTCTCCTTGTATGACCTGGTATCTAGGTCTCTAATAAGGTGCATGGCTCTCCTTTGGACTCTCTTGAGCTTCTCCACATCCTTCCTAAAGCGCGGCGCCCAGAACTGGATACAGAACTCCAGCTGTGGTCTCACCAGTGCCAAGTAGAGAGGGAGGATGACATCCTTAGTCTTGCTTGAGATGCCTTGGTAAATGGATGCCAGTGTTTGATTAGCTCTGCCAGCCACCGCATTGCATTGGTGGCTCATGTTCATTTTGTTGTCCATCACGACACCCGGGTCTCGTTCAGATGTGGTGCTAGCAAGCATAGCACTGCTGAACCTGTAAATGTGTTGTGGATTATTTCTCCCCAGATGGAGCACTTTACATTTCTCCATATCAAACAACATCTGGTTGAAGTCCGCCTACCTCATGAGCCTGTCCAGGTCGGCCTGTATTGCCAGCCTGTCTTCGAGTGTAACCACACTCCCCCATAGTTTGGTATTGTCAGCAAACTTTGCTAGTTTGCTTTTAATACCTGAATCCAAATCATTGATGAACATCTTGAAAAGCACTGGTCCAAGTACTGAACCCTGAGGGATGCCACCAGTCACCCTCTGCCATGATGACTCAGTTCTGTCAATCAATACTCTCTGGGTCCTACCACGGAGCCAGTTACCTAGCCACCGGACTGTAAAGTAGTCAAGGCTGCATTTTCCCTATTTTTTCATGAGGACTTCATGGAAGACCAGGACAAAGGCCCTTTTGAAATCCAGGTATATTACATCAACTACATTTCCCCCATCCAGGTGGCAAGTAACCTGATCATAGAAGAAAAAAAGAGGTTGGTCTGGTATGACCTGCCTATAACGAAGCCATGTTGGCTATCCTTCAGAATACTGCCTTCTGCTAGCCTGTCTGTAATGGATTCTTTGATAATTTTCTCCAGGATTTTACTGGATTGATGTCAAACTGATTGGCCTGTAATTTCCCAGGTCTTCCTTTCTTCTTTTCTTAAAAATAGGCACCACGTTAGCCTTCTTCCAATTTTCTGGGACCTCTCCCGAGCACCACGAGTCTTCAAATAACTTTGCCATTGGTCACACGATTACATCAGCCAGTTCTTTTAGTACCCCCAGGCATAGTTCTTCTGGTCCTGCTGACCTGTAGATATTTAGCTTTTGTAGGTGCTCCCCCACAAGATCTATGCTAACTATGGGGGTGGTCACCCCACCATGATCATCGTGTCAAGCAGGCTAACACCCTTGGACTGGTGGAATACTGACATGAAGTATTTATTCAGTCTAGTTTTGTCCTGAGTGCCAGTTATCAGCCATTTCATTTCATTCACCAGGGGCCCTATGCTTCCCTTATTTTTTCTCCAACTTCCTACATAGCTAAAGAAGGACTTTTTGTTGTCCTTGATTCTGGTTGCCAATCTGTATTCAGCTTGTGTTTTTGCTGTCCTGATCGGCTCCCTACAGGTGTGGGCTGTTGCTGAGTACTCCTTTTTGGTAGTTGTTCCTAACTTCATCCTTTGTAGGCTTCTTGTTTTAATTTCAGGAGGTCCATGACTGCCCTGTTGAGCCAAGGGGGTCTCCCAGCCCTTTTGCTGCCTTTCTTACGAAAGGGAATGGACTTCCTTTGAGCTTTTAGGATCGCTTCCTTGAGGAATGACCACTCTTCTTGTACCTGCTTCCTCATCAGACCATGGTCCCGCAGGGCCTCGCCAGTCATTACCCTAACCTTGTGGAAGTCAGCTTTCTTAAAATCAAGGATTTCTACTTTACTGACCAATTTCCCTGACTTATGGTGGATGGAGGAAGTGATCATTTCATGGTCACTGTCGCCCAGTTTCCCTTCGATCCTCAGGTTGCTCACTAGATCATCCCCCTTGGCCAGAACCAAGTCTAGGAGTGCCTTGCCCCTGGTCGGCCCGTAGACTTCTTGTGTTAGAGAGAGCTCCTCAATGCAAATTGCTCAGGCACTAAGCTGCTGTCTTACACAAGGTTCTCCAGCTCTTCATGTGGTGATAAAAATAAAACCCTTTGGAAGCCTAAAATGTGACTCATCGATGTCTGCTAACACTACACATAGCCCAGAACAACAGCTCTCAGATGTGCCCCCTGCCCTCAGCTGTTGCAAAGGGGTTAGTGCAGGATCCTGATAGTAACCAGGGAAATGAGGCGTTTTAGCAGAAACAGGCCATGAATATGCTTGTTGCACATTCCCAAACCACACCTGGTGCCACAGCCCTAAGCATCCCCACCCAGCTTCCCAAACCTCTTGCTTCTTCCCTTCCACTGTCGTGAAATGGACTGTTCTTACAACAACGCTCTTCAGACACTGCCTCAGAGCCTAGGTCCTGACTCCATCTTTTTTTTGCATACAAAGAGCTACCCGAGCAGAGAAGCAGAGACAGGGAATGCCCAGCTAAGCCTGGCTGGATCCAGGATCTGCCCTTGACGAGTCAGAGTAAAATCAAAATGTACTTGATAGAGTATGACAGACAAACAGGGAGGCTGCACTGAGGCTGCCTTGGACTCTCCAGCAACTAAGGTGCGCACACGTGTGGCCCCACACAATTAAAAACCTTGCCGCGCGCAAACTTGTTAAGGCCGCGCGCCGTCGCGGGGGGGAGGGGCTGGGCGCGGAGCGCGGTGGAGGCGCCGGGCCGGCGCGGGACGCTTACCGCAGGGGGGCTCCTCCCTCCGGGACAGGCAGCAGCTCCTCCCTGAGGCGAGACACGGGCCGGGGCAGGCTCCGCCGGCTCGGAGACGCTGCTCCGCTCCGCCGCATCGCCTCGGGGAGCGAAGAGGGACGCGTCAGGGCCGGGGAGCGGAGCAGTGTCCCGGAGCCGGCGGAGCCCGCACCAGCCCCAGCCCGGATGACACCTGGGGTCGCACCCGTGGACTGACCCCAAGTGCCAAAGGGTGGGCACATCCACCCTCAATAAATACATCATCATCTACTAATGGCAGTGCTAAAATAAAGATGCCAAAAACCTGCAAGTATTATTTGTATTATTTTCTGTTAGGGCAGAGAGGACCCTCTCACACCCCCCTCCCCACTCCTCCGACATTTTTCTCACACTTAAAAAGCTGCAAGACCAGATGGATTTTGTGCTGAAATAGAACACCAATACAGTGCTTACTCAGCCCCCAATGCTAAGTTAGTGGCTCAACTGGTGAGGTTGTTATACAATAACATGAGAAGC